AACCTCTCCACCCACGACTCGATAATGAAATGAGGCTATAAGTTAGTTTGGGGCAAGTAATTCAACTTCAGATATGGGAGGTGGGGAGAGTAGAGGGTGGGAGAAGGTTGAACTAAACACTGTGAATTCGTTTACTACTCTTCCCTTGTCTTGAACAAAATATTACCCCGGCCACCCCCGATAAGTTGGATGGTATCCATCTTCACCTCAAAATCTTGTCCGGGGAATGGACCCTTCATTTTTTAGGGAGATTCCCTCGCAGAAGAAGTTAGGAGCTAGGGAGAAGAAAACAGGAGCTTTTCGGGAAAGGTAGGCTCAGAGAGAAAGGCAGCACACAGCTTCAGAGATGAAAGAGATGGCCGGTTGCATGTTGTTGTTGGAGCTCCTGTGTAGTAGTACTTTCATGCCACAGCTCATCACGAGACATCGAAATTCCCAGAGACTCTCTGAACAGAGTCTGCCCTCTGGGAAGACAACAACGGACAATCAATTCCCTTTAGCGACCTTGTCAGCTGAGCTTAAGACATCTCTGTTTAGTCTGAACACGAGGGACAACAGGATGACATATAAACATGTTCCATCGATTTGTACCCATCCAGCCAGTACCAGCAACTTCATTTAGGGAGGTTTTTGATGCTCAAATGAATGGGACAACACGAATCCACTCTGTTTCCAAAAGTTCCTCCCATGGGCACCCATGGATCTGCTTGCCGGCGTGTCACATCGAAGCCAACCCTCATTTAAACAGAATCAAACGGTCTATGGAATGCTGAGTTCTTCTGGCTCCGGGCCAACTGCTCTGGACAAACCGGCCCTCGGTGGGCGGCTGGAGGGGGGGAGGGGGGAGGGGATTCAACTTTCGAATGAATCAGGTGGGTTTAGTTCCTTCTTCAGAAAGGTGAAGCCAAAAGGGAAATGAGTACAGAACCCTATGGACCGTAGCTAGGCAGCCAACTAAACAGATGATAAGAGTTGGACAATAACAAAGTATCCTTCAATGGTTGATCGCCCATCAACCTATGATGGTCCAAAGATAGCCCTTTCCACCTGGGAAGACATCTCAATTAGCTTGAAGCTTTGCTTTTGAAAAATTATTGGATGGCCAGCGGTATGAAAGGAAAACGGACTTAAAGCGGGGCTTAAAAGGTCTGACTGCGCTTGTACGAAAAAGAAAAAGGCTGTTCATTCCTTTTGACGGGAAAAGCACGTCCATTTGGTGGTGCAGGAAAAAAGAGCTCCTAAAGGCCTTTCTAGTCGAGGGAAATATTCCTTGAGCTCGTTCGTTTCCATGCTAGCCCCATGTTGGAAGGGAATAAGTTAACTTGGCAGGAAAGTCCTGCGACAAAAAAAAATCGAAGGGTCGAAAAAAAAACGTATAAACAGTGTGAACAGATAGCAAGGGAGTAAACTCCTACGTCATTACCCGGACAATCAACACATGAGCAGTCAAAGGCATGCAGGCACGTGGGCTTTCGCAACTTTACCATTAATGATGGGACGGCAACAGATTCGTACTACCACCTTCTACTAAGAGTTCAGGGAAACACAAATGTAGGAACTGAAATTATCAGCAACCTATTCGCTGAAGGCACAGTTCACCAATCAACGGTCAACAGTCTGTTGAACTGTCACATTGGCTGCTTTCATAGTCCGCGAATTGGCCCGCGAGCGGGAGAGCGAGCGACGGGAGCGGCGCCTGCCCCTTGTTTACAACTAAATCTTGGTCGATACCGCCGGACGAGTAGTCCCCCGTCGCTCGCTCACACAATCGCGGGCCAAATCGCGGACTATGAAATCAGCCACTGCAGGTGATGCTAGCCTTCGAAGTAACGCAAGCATCGTCTCATGGTTTTGTGGGGCATGAAGGGACTTTAAAACTATAAGTTGCTAAATGCAGATTGGATAGCCACAGCTGTCGCTTAGGCCCACGAACCAGAGCATTTGACCGAAGCGGGTAGAGAAATACGTCCAAGATCATAATTCAGGTACCTACAGAAGGGCGACGCACGTCGAAATTTCACATTGAAGACAAGTTGTTCATCAGTCTCACTCCATGAACTTTGTCCTTTTCATCACCTTATGTAAAGCCTTCTCAAGCATCTATTTGAAGGAAAAATTCGTGATTTTATGTGATCTGAAAGCGGTAGTCAATGATTTCTTCAAGTCCCAGCTTCCTGTCTTCTGGACAAACGGCCTCAGGGATTTGCCTAATCGATAAGGGAAGACTGTAAATCTTCCGGGCGGATATATATCTAATATTTGATCAATTTGGAAAATTCTAGAAATGACTGAAATGACTGAATGAATGAAAAACCAGAATGACTTTTTTCAGTCACAGGACCCTCTTGGCAGCCAACTACAAACGATTTTAGGAACAAATTCTTCGAATTTACTAAAGTAGCATAGCAAATATAGCAATTACATGGATAAATTGACTTGTAAATAATTAATAAATATTATAGGCAGCCAACAATTTAGTAGCAATCTTAGTGAAGAATTAAGTAATGAATTAATTGCTATAGGACCCTGTAGATGGTAGAAATTTGAAAAGGTATTTGAAACAATATCCCCAGTATCTTCATTTAAGAAAGCTGTCAGAATCAGGAAATGTCAGAAGAGAGACGAGCACATTAGGAAGTCGCAGCTGTCAGTTTCAACTGGCAGTTATTCAGGCGTGAAACTGAGCGATTCCCACGTTTTCCTCGATTTTGCATCTCTCCTGGTGTGCTTTTATCGATAGTATCCTATAAAATAAGTGAGAAATGGACAGTGGTGATGTCTGTCGGCTCCACTCTCAACGTATAACCCTTCACCAGAAACCTTTTATCCCACCGGAGTCAGTTAAATTGTATAAGACTCGTCCGGGAAGATATGGATAGGAGCTCGAACATCAGTTTGTCACCCCAGGTCATTGCACAGGCCCTACACGCTTTTGGACTCTATATTTACCATGAGAAAAGGAATTGGGAATTGGGAATTTGCAGGGAATTGTACCCCTACTTCCTAGATCCTAATTCTTAGATAGCGACAGGATTGTCTGCGTTCTGTTCACGTCCTGCCGCCCATCTGATCGGATTTCGTGCTCGTGCTTAGGACAAAGCCTACATTTACCCCTATCATTCCCGCTTCAGATGAAAACAGATTTCACCCAAACCTGTTGAGTTAGCCACAAAATACTTGGACTTTTCTGGAATGGGCCAAACACCGACTCGACTTGTAGACCATGTTACATCGTCTTCTCCTTTCTCTATTTCTTCACTATAAATACAACTTAGCTAGAAAACGAGATTCAGAAATGGAACATGCCCTTCATATTTGATTATGCGATTCCGATCATGTTTTCCTCTCAAAAAGTGCAGATAGTAATCTCCGTATTCCGTTTTCTTTGAGTCTCTTTATCGTAATCCAGTCCTATTCTTCTATGCCAAATGAAGTTTTTAGTTGCTTTCATCGCCAAGTGTTCTAACCTAATTCTTCTGCCAGAGGGTTGAAAGGGATTTTTGGGACCGAAAACTCACAGTGAGTCGAACCTTCAGGAATGTTATTGGCAACTCTGGGTCTCTATAGAGAGGCTATCCTATCCTGTCTTTTATATGAGAGAAATGGGTGAATGGAAGGATTTTAAAATTGCTAGTTTCTTACTAAAAGAACGCCGAACTCCATAACTCATTGATTTCAGATGAAGGTTTTGTTTTTCAGTCAGTAGAATGAAGTATTTCAGCCTTGATAGATTCCGTTTGCAGGATGCGCCCTGCATTCTGTTTCCTTTCGAAATCTTAGGGGCATTTTGGATACGTATGCGGTCTATACAGTGACGTGAGTGACGAGTCAGTGTTTATTCACTCAGAGCGATAGTTCACTATTTTACATCACATACGCCTCACTTCTGCCCTTTCAGACTTATAATATTGTTCGTCTAGTAGAAGGCTTCTACGACAGTTTTGATGAGGTAAAAGTATGCAGTTGAACCGGTCACCGGGAGTTCTTTTCGTGAACGATGAGTGACATGACGTCTCCAGGCAACTGGCCGAGTTTCACTTCACAAGAATTGCCCACTTTTTACGGAAGTCACCTCCACAAGGGATAAAGAGGTGGTGAGAGAAGAGGTTTGCGTACGGCAGTGGACTGGAGACGGCTGCACAAGAGCATTTGGACTTCAAAAAAAAANNAAAAAAAAGAACCGGTAAATTTTGAATTTTCATAAGATTTTACTTCTTGAAGTAACCAAAAAATTTCTTTCATTACAGGAGCTGAGAAATACTGAAAAATCCCCATAACAGCATGCTCCGTGTGAGAAAAAACTCAATAAGTATTACAAAGGTAAAAATGCATGTGGTCGTCGGTATGGGCCGACAATCACAGCCGTATTCAGGCTGAAGTTCTTTTTTCAACAACTTTATCGTCATAAATACGTAATACTCTTTTTCCTCTTCAATTTCACTAAAATGGTGAGGACATGTTCTCAAACCGCTTTACTGCAATGCTGAAGAAATTTCTACAACATACGTCCCCGATAGCTCTTCACCAGAAACTCATTAAATAGTTAATTTGAGAAGGAATAGGGCATTCACGTCAGAAAATTGTTGTAATTTTTCAAAAAACAAAAGGAAAACCTGACCGGGCCTCTCCAATTCCGATCCAAAGGAGATTTCATGCTCTAATCGTGAATTGATTTCGGTTCAGGACCTGCTCCTATGACACGGCGGCGATTTCGCGCGCAGCAGCAATGCTGCGAGCGTATTTCATGTTAGGGTTCAGGATGATTTCTTAAATCGTACCTATTTCTTTCCGTCCCAACACCTACGAAGGTGTGGGTGCTATGCAACTACGTAGGCTTTGGTTTTCCGTTCATTCTATCGAAGCGGGACTCCCATATCTCATTGTCCATGTCCCACTATGTTGTCGTTGTCTCGCAAGAAGAGGTCGTTGTTGTTGTTTACGATGTTTGCGAAAGATTGGATTCTTTTCAGGTTATTACACCGTTTTATTGTGGTGCCACAATGTCTAATCAGACTCCCTATATTGGGAGCAAAATTAGTTTAATATCGAAGCTCGATATTCGTTATGAAGGGATCCTGTACACGGTTGATACGAACGATTCTACTATTGCCCTAGCGAAAGGTTCTATATGGTTTTCTTTTTTGGATTTGGAACTGGAAGTGATAGTACATTCAATCGTAGACTTTTAGTCCGATCATTTGGTACTGAAGATCGTCCAACACCAAATCCTGTCGAGGCACGTGACGATGTGTACGAGTACATCATTTTTAAAGCGAACGACATAAAAGATCTGATTGTATGCGAAACACCGAAGGTATGGGCAGACTCCCATAGGTGTCTTCCTTTACCATCAATCTTAATTTTAGGTTGCAACCCTCGCAGGTGGACTTCCTTACGACCCGGCCATAATATCGGTTTCAGCTCGTACAGGATCTGCTTCTGCTAACGAGCAGCAGGCTTCCGCTGGCTCTTCTCGCTCGGATACCCCGCATCATCGAGCCAGTCCTAATATAGCTCAAGGTAATCGGGCGCCAGGTTCTGGTCGAAATGCGGGAAACCGTGCAAATCGCGGTAACTTTGTGCCGCCCGGTGAGTGCGGGATACATGTGCATTTGGTTGATTTTTACAAAGCAGTGTGTTTTTTGTCTTCAGTTTTCCCAAATGTGACTACATCCTTTTTGTTCATATTCTCACCTCATCTCAAAGACAAGATCTTGTTTCAGCACATCCTATCCAGCAAAATCGACAATTCAGTAATGGTTATCCCCGTGGCGGGTACAACTATGGAAACCAACGTCCTCGTAACAACCAAAGTGTTGGTGTTCCCCGTCCGCGTGAGAAGCTGAAGTTCGATGGCGATTACGATTTCGAAAAGGCCAACGAGCAGTTCCAGGAGCAGTTCTCCGACATGTTCAAGGATAAATTAAAGGTGCGTTTCCTAGTTGCAGTACTCTTGTATCGCAGTTTGATCACTTGCGATTTACTTTCCGAAAAATTATTTGTTAGTGGGCACATTGTGGCGGCTTCACTTGGGTTTACATTGTGCACAATTAAGTGTTCATTGCTCGCATGTCATCTCAATAGTTGAGATGTTTTTGATTTGTGCGGAACACGTGGTTAGCAGCGAACACGTGGCAGCGATCGTTGCGGAGCGAACGACATAGCTTTGCAGCTAGCTTTGAACTTATGGTCTGCATATATCTTTCCAAAAGCGCAACCATGTCGATAGAAACCCTTGGAGAAATGCTTTTTGCTTTTTTCTCTCTCCAAATCTTCTGATGTTACAGGTCGATGGCGAGAAAAGCGAAGAGGAACAAGCTGAGAAAGTCCCCGAAGACACTTATTACGACAAGAAAAGCTCATTCTTTGATCGCATAAGCTGTGAGGCATTGGAGAAGGCTGAAGGAAAAAGTGGACGTCCGGACTGGAAAAAAGAAAGAGAGACAAACCAGGAAACATTTGGACATTCTGCTGTTCGCTCACTAAACTACCGTCGTGGATTCGGTCAACGCGGACGCGCTCGTGGATATGGGCGTAGGTTTTATTGCGTAATCTTTGCAGCGATCCAAGGTCTATGTGATCAATGTATGTTCATTGCGTTGGGGAAGCAGAGCTAAGCTCAATGCTTTTAGCTTTAATTGTTATTCCCCAGCGTAATCATGCCGGGCTACTCTTATTTTTCCTTTTTCTTAAAAGCCAACAAACAGTTTGCATAATTTACATAGTTACATACTCCTTTTGCTCACAGTTAAGTTTCTGGAATTGAGAATTCACTGAATGAGAACGATGTCGGTAGGGTGTACTACTGCCTAGAACACAGCTCATAATTTGCATGCTATGGGACTAAGAAAAGGGCCTCATATGAAAGAAACATAACGCGTGCTTTTCGGTTTTGTAAAGAATGGCTCATGTGATTCGCTTAACGCAAGCAAAGCATTTTTATCGAGTGAATTGATTTCTCTCACCTCCATCAGAAACGTTTCAACGGTGGAATAACTTCGACATTTTGACATTTCATGTCGTTCCATGCCTTTTTGCATAGGAAAGTGACCACGTCTGTCGTACAAGGTTGTTATTTAGTGACAACAGTTGAACGTACGATAGGCGAACTAGGAATCCCTGAATGCAGGTTAGGCCAAGTATTTGGTAGTAGCGTTGATGGAAAAAGGATTGCTTTTTCTCTGAACTACATGGAAACGCTTTAGGAGGCTCCCTCTTGAAAGGAAGACAGTGAGAATGTAGCTTAAATTGTAGGCAATGATTATCATGGCATTACGTCGACCTATTTACTTGGCAGCTCTGCAGATTCATTTTCCTCTTTTAGGACCTGGTGATGGTCGCTACATCAACAACTTCAATCGAGGCTACAATAATTTCCGTGGTGGATATGGGGACAACAATTCGAACGCTCGTGGAAGAGGTTATAATAGAGGAGGATATCAGCAGAGTCAGCAGCAGTGAGAAAAGATCATTGAGAGGGGTGAAGATTGCTCTGCTTTTACATAATGTAGAAAATTTGAAAGCTGTTGCTCGGTCTTTCACGCGGTTCTTGTTTCGAGCTGGAGCTTTGTTTTCCCCGTAACTTTCAGAAGAAGGAAGCTGTCTGAATCTGTTACCAATTCCCATGTGCTAATCTCGTTGTTGACGGGCAGTATTACACGTTTGGTTTTGTATGTGGTTTTTAAGATCTAGTTTTCTTTTTTAATTTTTGACGGTTTTTGTTGAACTGCGATGATGAACTGTGCATGAGTTATCGGTGTAGTGTGTTGTATTTTTATGGGACCACAGCATAACAGAAATACATCTTAGTTTGTTAACTTGCATCATCTTTGTTTGTTGGATATTTACACATTCAATAAAGCTTAATAGGTATTAGCGTGCTGTGTTCGGTTATGATTGTTTTTCACAACGGTTATTCTAGACCTACGAATACGTATAAGTCTGGGTACGTTTTACGAAGGACTGGTAATCTCGGTTGTGTCTCTTAAATGCTAAGCTTTCCGCGATTTTGTTATGATTTTGTTGAGGGCGACTCCCAGTTGAACCACTTCCAGGTGGTCGTAATCACCTTTCCTCTACATCTTATCTATCACAGTGAGCTTTTAACTCCGCTCTAATTGTTCTGCTTTTTTAATACAATGTATCTTTGCTTAGTAGGGAGTGCGACTACTCGATTTTTTGCTTGGGTTCACCAAGGGAGGATAGGTTGCGGCCGCATCTCAAAAAAAAAACAACAAAAAATGGGTGTGATAATTGCTGTTTTATAGGGTATTCCTTCCCTTATAAGGCAGTTCTTCCTAAATTCAGCAGTCGGCTGGACTCAGAATTTGGGTAAAACTGGATTACCTTGAAAAAAGTCATCTCTGATTGGAATGTGGAAGCGGCTTGACGGAATATGAGTCTTTATTTTCGCATTTATTCCTCTTCTTTACGAACCCTTCATCTCATCTTGACTTCTTCATGCCATTTGTGGTTTTTGGTTGTATCCATTACTCTTATCTCGATGTTGTTGCCAACTTTTTGATTATTGTACCGTTCTCTTTTCAGGACACAATCGCCACTGTTCATCAAGGTGACCCAAACGTAGTTGGCGATGGCAGTAACACCTGCCGCTACTTATTGATCGAGTCTATTCGCAACTTGGCCTTGTAGGGAGACAGTGGTGGAGAGACGGCGTAATCATTCAGCACTTCAGCGACGAAGTGCTGAGGAATACTCACCCGATAGCTGTTTCAGACACATTAACAATGGCTGATTATTTTCGTTCACCTGCTTTCTACTGGTATTTAATCATACTACCAGCACTTGGAATTAATTTTGTGAGTTCCTTTTTCCAGTTTCCTTTCGTACATATTTTTCGATGAGCTCGTCCACAGCTTTACTAGTTTTTTTTTTTTGGTTTAGAAGCCTTTGTGCATGTCATTAATCACAACAGCTGTTCATTTGTGGAATGTTTTCATGAATGTGTTTGGGTTGTGGAGTTTTTTTCTTCTCAAATGGCCTGTTTTAAAATTCAGAAGTTCGAGAACAGTAACTTCTGTTTTAAAATGATGCTACTTCTTTCCACAACGAAAAGGAACCAAAAAATACGCAATAAAAATGATATATTACGAAAGAAAAATCACAGTAAAGTCGAAGAATGCTATTGTGCCTTGGGGAAAATTTCGTTTTTCTTTTGCTTCACATTTAACCCTTACCAGCACTTGGTGGTTTACGATTAGATTGATCTCAACAAGGGAAACTGCCCATAGATCCTAATTTTGAGTAGGGTCATGCAAGGCAAGAACCGAGAAATTTGGTGTAGCTTGAAGTTCTCAGCAACCGAAACGGGCATTATTTCCGCATTACGCACGGCTGATTACCCTCTGAGGAAGTTCGTTGCAAAAACTCATCTAGAACCCTTTGGCGAACACCCATTGCACCTTCGGACCATGTCTTTTGCAGTTTTCGCGCGAGAGCGCAGTATGTCGCGAGTTCTGCAAAGTTGGACACCTTGTGTTACTAGAAAGTAGCCAGTGCTGGTCATCACGATAGCTCCTAGTTGCAAATATTGGAGGGAAACAGAGCTGATTGAAATTTAGTTTCGATGTCAGTTCCTACCTTGTGATTTGAAGGGAACCGAAGTAATGGGAGGTTATCGAGAGGCATTCCACGTTCCTCAGCACAACGTGGTAAGAATGAAGGAAGTAGATTTTAACATACTAATCTGACAGTTCCATACTTACTGACGAGCCCAGTGGGATAGAGGGAACAAAGGGGTTTGTTTAAATGGAGGGCGAACGTAACACACCTGAACGTTTTCTAGAGACGTTACGTTTTATTTTGTGAAAACTACTTCTGAGCAGGACTTATACCAAAGACGTAACTGTCTTCGGAAAAATGGACTGAAGTATCCTGGAAGTGGAGATGCAGTGATGAGAAGATTGTCCAAGATTGCTTCTGTTTCAGCTCGCTTTTTATTCACCTAATATTCTTCGACAGTATGTTCCTTTAATCGGACCCATGGCTGCTTATATTGGAACTCACTATCACTGGATAACGGTTTACACAAATGTTTTTGCATTAGTTGCCCATGTTGGAGAGAGCCTTTACGCCTTGTATCTTTGTAAAAAGCTGAAGTTTAGGTGAGTGTAGCTTCATTTTTTTCCTTTTGAGAACCGTAGTCTGTTTTCAGAAATCTTCAGTTTGTTTTTCTTTTTCAGTCTGTCGTGTTCAGCAAAATGGTTCGTGCAAACCTTCCTTGTAGGATTTGCATCACTTGGCATTTTACGTGATTTTGCTTCGAAAACTAAAAGAAGACGTTGAATACAGGTCGGACACTGGAAGACGGGACTGATAAATTATTGTTTTTGTTGTCGCTAATTTGATTTGTTTCAAATAAACTCCCAAAAGTAGAGGCACAATGCGGAAGCAATGCGTTAAACGTATAAGATTTAAACACGGCTTATTTGAAACGTTACCATTGCCAATTTAATTAGGCAGCGGCTGATATCGATTTCCAGCACGTCGATCATCCAGTTTGGGAAAAGATGTATATCATAGCCATATATTGAACTATTATGAAATGGTACTGAAACAGCTTTGTCATTCTTTACCTTCGAATTACGGAAAGATGGATTCAGTTGTATACCAAAACAACTCTCATACTCCTATAATATTTGACTGGGAAACGGTATAAAAAGTGTGCTAAAAAGGAATCAAATGCCTATTTGTCTACTAAATCCATGGCTTGTCTTTTTCACGTTAACCGACATTTTCGTCGAAATTCAAGTGAAAATCCGTTTTCCTGTTTGCAGTTTTCTTATACGCTTTATATTCGGAGGTATACGATGTGGTGTCGAATCTCGGAACGATACTCGTTCAAATTAACCGAGCCATCCATCCTTTGAGGGTCGACCAATTGGTACCGTACTAGTTTGGGAAGAGAAGAGCTCGAACCTGTACATCAGCCGACCATCGCAAGTCATTGTATAGGCCACATACCTATTTAGAGCTTCACTATCTGAATTCTGAGTGGAAGTGGAATGCGAGGTGCATCCAAAATTAAAGTGAGATTGATCAACACCATAGACTTTGTGCTTTATTTTAATAATCTTATCTGCATGCTATTATATGTAATCATGTGCGGTATTACCAGTATTACCAATTACCACAAATAGAGTATAGGAAGTGATATAGCTTAGTTTTGTAATACAAAAAAAATTGTGATATTTATAAAAATCGGGCTCAAACCTGTGTAAACAATAGGCACTCCTAGAGGTTGAAAGGAAAACAATGTCGGATTTAGTGTAAACAATAAGCACTTCTAGAGGTTTAAAGAAAAACAGAGTCAGTTTTATGCAATTTTCCAACCAATTAAACTTAAAATCCCAATTAACAACTAATAATTGCAATACATAATGAGATACACGTATGATGTGCGAAATCATCTATAGGGCGAGCTGAAAACTATAAAAAAAAATAGAGAAATTCAAGAATTCATGCTAGCCAAGAGGCCACCTTGTCCATCTTCTGCCAGATTTCTTAATAGAACCCTAGGGTTTTTAGGAAAACATGACTGGCAAGAGATGAACTAATTGGAATATAGGTGACGCATTCAAATAGCTCCTTACAGATGAAATTATTCTGGTAAAAATGGTATTGCGAAGCGCCGCAGGGGGAGGAACTAATATTCGTTGGGGCACAGCAACCGTTGACATGGGTGACGAGATCTCTCCATTCCTAACTTCCTCGGAGCCTTTTCGGTACAGTCAATGGGTGTCAACTCAATGTCAATTCACTTCTTATGTATTTTGATGCTCTAGGGCTCGCACACAATCTCGTCGCCTCTAACTATGAACGCATCGCTCGCGACCCCATTTGTCATGTATTTCGTACATTTCAGAATTCCTGGTTCATTTTGCCCAATATGGGTTAGGATTCCTCTTTATCTGGGTCACAGGATTTTTAAAAGAGTAGGAACCGCAATCCATGGCACCTCAATATACGAGCCATGAAATAAGCTAAGAACACTTTTTTCGCAGCTCTGAAACCCATAGGACCTTTTTTTGTTTTTCGCAGGAAAGGCCCGGCTATGGAATTTTCGCTTGACAACAGCCCATTTAGGGAACTTCTCTGAAAGTGCTGAAATGCGTCACCCTGCTCCCAAAACACTAGATGGGAAGAGTTCATGCAGAACATCGACGTTTCGTTAAGGGTGGAATTTGACTTGGTAGGTATGAGCTCGTAGTTGAGCTGCTCATATACGCTGGACTAGTACTTGCAGCGATTTCCGCCTGAAAACAGTATAAAGATTACTTTTTGAAAAAAATAGACAAATTCTAATCGAAAGTACCAGATCCACAATGTATGTAGGGGCGGAGATTCCTGAACCTTTGCTCTCTCGCCATTGGTTAGTTCCCATCGTAGTGGTCTTAGGCGGGGGAAGCGGGGATGCAGTAGATAACCTAGTGGTTCAGCACATGGTTACTTTTGCTTCAAAATGAGATAGAAGCTATGTAAGTGGTACATAGCAGTTACGAGTGGTGAAATAGGAGTCCTAGAAATGCTGGGAAGGGACTCAAACTTCCTTTGAATAGAATAGGGAACATGAAACTGTTTTTCTAGAATGAGTCAATAAAATTCATGCAAAAACGAAAACGCGCTCTACTTATTTATTTAGTTATTTATTTATTGACTTATTTACTTATTTATCGGGAAATCCGCTTACCTTGTATTCTTTTCGAATAAGGCCAAGATAAAAAGTTCCCTCAGGCAGTAAGCTAGATAGATTGTCAAATGCCTTAAAAATGATTCTGTCGTCAACCACATCATACCAGGTATCTCCGCTCCTACCTCATTGCCTTCAATGCTTTTCAATGGTTCCAGACTTGCTCTCTGTGAATCTTGTACTAAGACCATCGTTTCTGTCTTAATCACCTACCCGATAGGTAGGAGTACGTGGAACTATATAAATAAGCTCCTTGGCTTTCATAGGACTCGGTAATTGCTCAGGTCGTGGCAGCGGTGAAGAGAAGATTCTAAACTTTTTTAAAATTTTCTACTCTGTAAAAAACTTCTTTCAAGTATTAACATTACCTGGCAGCCGGAGTTCTTGATGCTTTACTTCTGGCTTCTTCGACAGTAATTGTATTGGCTTTTCGAACTACCTGAATAAATAAGCAAGAGTTACTGGAGAACGAAAACAAAACAAAACAAAACAAACTGGAACTCAGCAGAACTTTTGATGCATCTGGAACTCCCAAAAAATACAATGGAAAATTAAAGAAAAGATAAACACAAATTTATCAAAAAAAAAAAAACAAACAAAATCGACAGAAGAGGATATTTGATCGGAAAAATCTATATTATACAACTATGAAAATTGCGGGACGCTTAAAAGGCAACATTTAACGGTTTCATTGAAAGTAGTAAAAATAAATAAAGCTCATAATTGAGATTTCGTACCTTAATTGTTGCTCTTTTCGGCTTTATAGGTACATCCTTTTCCTTTCTGCAACACAGCAGGTAATTACGAACCCGTTTAACATTCTGAAATAGTTCTCAGTCTCATCTTGGTCACATATCTTTAACACGATTGATCGACCAACCAGCCGGATAAGCCGTGTATTTTGTTCAATCTCCAGATCAAGTCTGCACACTAGTAGGGTGTTAGGCCTACGAGCACGGCCGAGGTACAGAAAGCGTAATAAAGTTTTCTTACATGAGTATTTGGCACCGTGGAGTTACTGGTTTTAGTTCCCTAAGGCGGTTTGATTCGAAGTTTCAACTATCACCATGGTTCTGGTAATGGCATTGCTTACCTCTTACTTAATTACTTGCTAATTTCTGGGCCCAAAGTGAAATATTTTCCAAAATTAAACATCCCACTAGTCAGATCCTAGTTCCGAGCCAGTTACTGGGGAAATCATACTTTTGTGTGGGCTAAAGTATCAATATTCCTTCGTTGTTACTTATTTGATGGATTTCCATCTTTACTGCTTCCTACGATATCTCCAATCCTCTGAAAATCGATTGCAAGATATAAGATTGCGCCATGCTTCTACTCCTCCTTGGTAACTTCACACAAACAGCTGCTTTCTAATAAAAACAAATTTACCAAAAAGTAGATAAACACCTTACAATTGCCAATAAGATCAGAAGTCCTATAAGTCCAAGTCCCAACACACCGAGAACAATAAGCACATCAATAAGATCGTCGTCCATCTGCAATAATAGTTATGAAGATATTTGAAGGGAAGTTTCTGGCACAAATGCATCTCATAAAATGGCAAAATACAAATTAGAAAAACTGAATATCTATAAATGGAGAAATGAACCAATTGGTCAATAAATTGCTTCCGATAAAATATGGGATGGCTTTCCTTGGGATGAATTTATTTCTAACCTCTCCGACCGCGCCTTCCCAACAACACCCTTACAGTCTACGCTGGAGGAGGTTCTGGGTGAAAAGCAATGGAAAAAAGCTGAAGATCCAATCTTCATAGGAAACTGCACCGAAAAACACTGCTTTATATAAAAATGAAGAAGTGCTTGAAGTAACGGCTGTTCGGTGACTAAGCATTGTTTGAACTCTTTTTCAGTTTGACTGGAGTTTTTCTACAAAGGAGGAGAGCAGAGCTACTAGTTAATGTCAGAAAACTGTTTTCCAAAATTCGTAAAGTGAATCTTCAAAGAGAACAGTCGCAAAGATGAACTGATCTAATGATTGGCCATAATCAATCAATTTGCTGCCTTTCAATTTTTTACAACATGAAAGATCCATCCAGTATTACAATTCGACCGAAAAACAGCTTAAAAACTGGTCACTCAATTGAGTATTAATCAATCTTCAGTTTTTTGCCTTTTTGTCAGAAATTTTCTCAAGCAATGTGATTGACGGCTACCAAGATATTACAGGCTTTATTTTAAGTGGCGTGAGGAGCACGTAAAAACATCGAGGGAGTACTGAAGAAGGTAAAAAACATCCAACCCTGCGCCCACCATATGGGAGCTGCGGTCCCTGCTGCTTGGACATACTCTTCAGAGGTTCGCACCCTACCAAAAGCACTATAAGCATGCTGCCAACCTCATTCGAAGCGTTTTTGAAAGTGCAATGTTCGGAATTTCCCCAGAAAGTGCAGAGTGAAAACCGGAGTTCCGAGCTCGTCAACGAACGAAGATCAGGGGTGCCATTGCTCACGCTGAGGAATCGGAAAGTCAAGAAAGAGGAAAGGCTGAATTGAATCAATTTACTCTATTAGTTCTGGTGTATCATCAATTTGGACCGCTGCAGAGGCAGACACCTGTTCAGGAAGTTGGATGAACAATTGTTAGGACCAGTTATTCAAGCAGCTTTACTAAATGATTAAAACTGCGGCTAGTCACACCTTATAAGGGAAAATCGACTGAAGGAGAAGCATAAAGCTGAAGAACTGAAAAATGGGCCGAATCAAGGAAAAAAAGGGCCGAGAAAAGAAGAAAAAAGTGAACGTGTCAATGATGAGCATAGATCAGGTGAGTATTGAATCAGTCCGCTTATGCAAATATCAATGACACGGGTTCAGTAAAAGTACAGGAGACGAAATTTTTTTGCTGGTTCTGTGAATTTGCTAACGCCCAGAAAAAAGAGGAGAAATGAAGCTGCTGACCAGGGAGGGGTAGTCTACTTATCTTGGAACTTTGAATTCAGA